GAGTTAACTTGTGGCCGAGTTGACTTGTGGCCGAGTTGACTGCAGCCGAACTTTTTGTGGCCGAGTTGATTTGTGGCTGCTGAGTTGACTTGTGGCCGCGTTCACTTTTGGCCGAGTTGGATCGAATTCGGTGCAGAGACGACGTTGTCCTCTCTCTCTCTGTACAGTACTGTTTATTTATTTTTAGCCTATAATAGCATTACGTCATATCCAAAGCCAGATTTTGCGGAAAAAAAACCAATGCGGTAAGACAGCCAACTCACAATAATAAAACATTTGCGTCATCTTAGGGTTGCATTGCGTCGCACATAGTCCTAACGAAGTCGGAAATTTGATCTTTGTAAATCTCACAATAGACGTAACAGTGTAATAAATGAAGGGAATTCTTCCCGTACCCCCAGACTAGTTTTCACTATTCTACAAATCTATCAAATGAAACGCTAGCCTACTTAATCGACGGACTTCAACGCAAGTCTGACACATTGCTGCTCCATTGAGTTTGAGTAAGAGGGAGGGAATTCCCGAACCATGCAGACGGTGCTCAACAATTTCAAAATGCTTCGATATTACGCAGTTTACTACCAGTAGTGTACGTTAGCGAAGCTTAAATAAGAGTTCATGTGTAAGTTTTAAGACATTAGGGAATATATATTGTTTGAATACAATCAGAATCAGTCAGTTAGAAATTTGGCTAGGCCTAGGCCCTAAGTTAGACTAGGCCTAGGCCTAAGAAGCCTACTCTTTCCTTTCTACTAGGCCTAGGCTAGGCCCCTAGCTAGGGCCTTGGCCGATTCTAGCTGCTAGCTTACAGAGCTAGGCCACAGGAGGTTGGTTCACAATACCACCAGGCTTAGGTCTAGGCCTACTAAGTACTACTTTTCTACTAGACTAGGCCCATTATATATATAGGCCCTGTTTACTTTGGTTAAAACCTAAAATTATTGTTACATAATTCCATTAAACAGGGTTCGTACGCGTCCTTAAATTCCTGGAATGTCCTGGAAAAACGAATGAGCATTTTCCAGTACTGGAAAGTCCTGGAAATTGGCCTTGAAAATTTCTTCAATGTCCTGGAAATTTGATTATTTACCCATTTATCGTATTTCGCATGATATATACGTAAATTCCAAGTCATGATTAAAATAAGCTAAAAAATGTTCATTTGTTTTTGTCTTTTCAATACTCATACACAATTAAAGTACAGACTGTTGCCCGCATACTGTAGCTATTTCTCAAAAGTAGGGCGGCATGTCTACAATATTACTCTACTCACGCGCGGCTCTCGCTCTTTGACATTACACAAAGGAGACGTGCGGCGGGTACATGTAAGGGCACTAATAATTTTCGGTACTGTGAAATACATGGTAAATTTGGGCATGTATACACTGTGACTGATTATGTACTGTACAGCATATTTTTTTTTTAGCGCAGACTGGGTTATGGCAGCCGAGGCGTTGAAAACTCGAAAGAGGCAATCTAAGCTAGATGAGTTAGATAATTAAAAGAAGAGTAAGAAAAGATGTATTGCGCTGATATTGAAGACTTGTCTGAAAAAGTCATCCATAAGGTTTGCTGATCAGGCCGAGAGTAAAGGTAGTCTGACCGTATCGCCAAAAGCGTACAGCCTGCGTCGAACTGCCGCTGAGAAAAGTCATTACTGGCAGAAATTGAGACAACATTGCTTCAAAATTAGAAGAAATAAAAAATATGTAAATCCAGAAACTACCATACCTATGACATTGTTTCAAATAAAGTGGATTTTTAAAAGGAATATGCTGTCATTTTTGTGTTGCTATTCTGTGTTAAACTTAGTGCTTGCAAATGTTGATAATTCAATTTTACAATGTACTGTATATATTTGCACTACGTATAAACAAATGCAATCATCGCAAACACATCGTACGTTAACATTTGCTATATGATAGATTATAAAAGTTTACATAGGTTTATAATATTAATTATAAATAATAACCATGAATACAGAGATGAAATAAACAACTTCGCAATGTACAATTAAACAAGTTTCAACATTTTAATGACCAATATGTATGAAATTTATGAAATAACAATTAAGATCTCCGCAACGTGCACCCAAAACGAAGGAGATTAGGACACCGTGGGCCGATATTTTTATTGCTTAGCAATGTCAACATCGCCACAGCTCCTTTCATGTAAATTGTTGAATAACCCTGGACAGACGTACACTCCACCAAGGCGTCACAATAGAATCAAGTTATTACTGACGCCCCGGTACCACAAAGCCACCGACAGGTTTAGCCATAAGGCCATGTTGTACGCGCACATTTTTGTTGCCTAGCAGAGAATCAGGTCTGCTGTAGTTCAACTGTATGCTTTGTCTTACTTGCCAGTAAAAAGCTAGTAAAAACACTTTAAAACAGAAATTTAGTCTTTAAAATTAGAAGAATATGAGAAGGTGACTCAATTATTTATAATATCTTTATGTTTCATTGCAGATACTTGATTTTTTAACATGGCAAGTTCTTATATATACTTCATTGTTCAGGTAGACTTTGAGGTGCACCGAGGCCCTTCCAAACACCAAAAGATATTGGCAGGAACACTTCTAAAGTGCTTTCAAGATCATATTCAGGAAAATATTTTGCATGCAGAATCCCTGGATTCAGACATGTTATATTTTACCTTTCCAAGAAACGAGAATATTGAACAAATCAAAAGTGAATATGTTGATTATTTACTTGCAATCACCACTCTTGGAAAAAGATTATTATCTTTTAATGAGCATAAACTTAAAAGAGCGGTGGAAGTAAAAGTAGGTGATGCTGTTCGGGTGGTTTTGAAACTGCCCTCATATGAACTGTTTTATGCAGATGCTGTTTTAAGGTACAAAGGCAACCCTGATACAACCAAAGGAATTTTATTTGGGGTTGAACTTCTTGTAAGTATATGTGTTATGGTTTGAGTAAAGACACTGTAAATTAAATGTTTTTTTTAAAAAAGAGAAAAAAAAAAGAGAAATTTACTGATTTATTTTAATTCCATAGTTACAGATTGCAAACATTGTCACCAGTTAAGTTAGATCTTATCTATCAAAATTGTTATTTAAAATTAAATTTCAAATAACAATTTTGATAGATAACTAACAAAGTGTATAAAGCTGATTTATCCAATGTCTTTTTATACAGCCACCTATGCTAATGCAATATGAACACTACTGTACTTGGAAACAATTTGATTTTCTCTCAGACACTATATTTCTTAAAGGTTTCGCACACTATTTATTATTTCTGTTATTTGTTTATGAGTGGACCCTTGCAATTCTATTTCTATATGAAATGTGTTTACAAATGACAATAAATAATGTATACAGTATATGCTGAATATATATACTGGAATGCAAGGGAAACAACTGGCAAGAGATTGAGAAAAATGGAAAGTTGGTGGAGAGGCTTACTGTACATCCAGCACTGGATAGTAAAAGGCTAAGAAGATGCTGAGTACTGTAGCATTAACCATTTATGTGTGTATTAAGGTTCTGGTATGTAGTGTAATTAGAGTAGTGGTCTACCATTCAATTGCAAACACTTTCTCTTGAAAATTGGGCAGCTTATTTTAATAATTTGCATAAATTGACAAATAAACACCTATTTTGTCTACATAGAGTAAAATAATTACTGTACTACTGGATAAACAGAAGCTAGAAATCACTGGTTTTCTTTTTTCTTTAAATTTCTGTTCCATAATCCATCAAATTCTTTACAGTTAAGAGTACTTGCTGCAACCATCCCCATCTGGGATACTAGGCATTCCCAGTCCAATTACTTCTTAAAGACATGTTCCCTGAAAATGACAAAAAAAAAAATCATACAGAATAATTTTGAAATTAACTTGCTAATTTTGCAGTAACATACGAATTATTAACTTGTCTTCCTTTTTCTTTAAATGAAATTAATATTAATATTAATATTACTTTTATTATTTTATTAGTCACATAAAGGAATGGGTTTAACAGATGGAACATTTTGCAAGAAGCAATATTTCAAATGTGAAGACAATTGCGGAATGTTTGTGTCATTTGACAAATTGATGTTTCATGTATCACTTGCAAATCATGAACCAATGAAAGCTGCTTTTGAGCATTTCAAAATTGGAATGAGAGTCTGTATTCTTGACGAACAGATAGATGGCAAAGAGCAACAAATAACAGGTGTGTTGAAATACCTGTTACCATCCCAAACTACAGGTGGAACCCTAGCAGGTGTTGAATTGGTGAGTTTCTACTCATGTTTAATTTTTTTTTCTTCTGAATAAATAGCACAGTTATTCAACAATGTGATGTTACTGTAATATATTTATTTATTTTATTTACCAAATTTTTATAGCGCCCCTTTCATGAATAATCATGTTCAAAGCGCATTACATTAAGAGTACAATAAATTAACAATCAAAATATAAACAATTGAGAATATCTAAAATTCATAGATTAATTACAATTAATATTTATAAAATTATACAGTAAAAAATTTTAAAAAAAGGATCCAGTATTAATTAACCAACAAGATTGTATAAAACAGTTATAAAAATTAAAAATTTGCATATATCTCAAATCGAGGCATATATTTAATATTTCGGAAGTAATATATTGATACGTTAACAATTTAAATAAAACAATTTAAAATATATTATTGATTAAAATATTTTATTAACAATTCAGCTATAATTAAAACCATCAAACTTCAATTAAATTACCGGTTAAAACATATATATGGGATGGATAGAGCAACTCAGAAATATGTAATTAGAGTTTTTAAATCAAAATATTACCAATTTTCCTGGCATCTGGTGTGCTATTTGTACAGTGAATCAAACTCAGAACAACGAATTTATTGTACTATGAGTACTTTTGACCATATGTCTTCATCAGATATAGATGATGACATATGGTCAAAAGTGAGGATAACTACATTAAAATAGGAGTGATGTTTTGCCCTACTAGACGTGTTATCATACCGAATACTCAGTACGTCCACAAATCCTAGCGTAAAATTTGCAAGTGATTCGGGTGGGAATTGAACCCACGACCTCCATGTAACTAGCCTTATGTCTTAACCACTAGACCACCGAGCTTGCGCTTGATGACTAGTGATGACCCTGAATCACAAGCAAATTTTTTTCGCTAGTATTTGGGGACGTAGAGTGTTCGGTACGACTGAGACAACTATACAAAGAGATTGGAAACGCGACTGGATTCTATTGTTCTCTAGTTTGTGATGTCTTGTGTGTCATTGATATGCAAATAAGGTTGTTCGAACCGCAAGCGGGCAACTTCTACACACGAGATAAGCGGATATTTTCGTGGCTGTATTGGATGTATAATATTTTTAAAAAATATTTAAACTTTTACTTTGGCAATTTCTTTGAAAGGTAAGATACATAACACATATATTGCAGTTTAAATGTCTGAAATTTATGGTATGCGTACATACATTCGGCAGCCCCTATCCTCAGCTGTCCAGGTCTAGGCCTAACCGGGTCCTGACACTCGGTAAAATGATTGAATTAAAGAAACACACTAAATCCATAGTACAGTTTACACACGTTTAAGCACATGTTTTGAAATCATTTACCACAACAGAAATTGAGTTTTTGTGTGTACCTAGTAAGTCATGTTCGGAATTAGAGAATATGTACATACAGTCCAATTGACATATTATTTTCGTATTAATTACAGCTTTTCGGGCAATTGAATGTTGGAAACATCAGCTATTAAAATACACTTTTCTCTAATTCATGAACCATTAGTTATTGACAGGTAATATACCGAAAAATTAGCTAAACCTGTTTGTACCTATATTAAATATCTTTATGGATTAGATGATTATATTACATAGCCTATGTAAATACGAGTACGTGATTGTTCGAAATGGCATCACGTGACTAGCTTTACGAGGATCGGAGACGTTATAACTTTTAAAGTGACCAGTCTCTGACGTCACTGGATTACACCCGCATTGCGCCCGTAGTGAATGCTAGTCGAAAGCTCACTAATTGTGAATGTGCCTAGCGCTTCGAAAATGGCGACTTTAAATAGGCCTAAGTTTAAATCTCTCGATGAAGACAAATTGGATTCTCGGTGTACAAAATTTGTTGTGAATTCATTCGTTAATGTAGGCCTACTCAGTGAATATTAGGCCTGGCCTACTTGCATTGAAAATTTCACAGCAACGAAGCTCAACGCGTTTCTCCGGTCAATCTTCGCTGAGGTAAGGAGAGCAAATGGTGAATTGTACACTAAACGATCAATGATAACGCTACGCTACATACTACAGAAACATTTTTTAAAAGTGACGGTAATATGAAGTATTTTGGCTTTGTAATATAATATTGTGTAAAAGTTCTTGATATTTAAAGTAATGTGTTCTGTTAATTATTTGCATCTATTTTTGGCTATGTAATATAACAGATATTGCCTTTTCTATCGGTGTAATAATAACATTTGATATCCCCTTAGGAATTATATTTTATATATAATATAAAAAAAAAAATATAATTCCCTTGGGGATATCAAATGTTATATTTCACCTCTAAGCAGGCAATATCTGTAATAAAATACTAAATACTGCCTTAAACTATGCTCTATTTTAGGCCTACAGTGTGGCCTAGCCATTATGCCTAGGGCATAGGGCCATTTCGGCCTGGAACAAGTTCGGCTACGATGTCAGGAACACCTATTCGATAGTTGTTTTCATTTACACGACTCAGTGATTATGAACTGCATAAGCAGTAAGCATTCGCTTAGCTGAAACAGTGTTTGGTTTACTGGATTTGCATATCAAAAGCATGCAACACACAACAAATCGCCGGGATGGAAGAACAAAGGAAATCTCGGGTCGTTTCCAATCTCCTTCTATAGTTGTCTCAGGGTACGATAACACATAGGCTAGGGCAAAACATCACTCCTATGATATTTTCCTGACGCAAACGTTCACATCTTAATAGCACTTGCAGTACCCCCTGCTACTGACTGGTCCTTGATTCAGGCCCCATACGTATTCTAATACAGGTCTAATGGCTTGTTTATAAAACAGCAATAATGCATGGTTATCAACAACTGAACGTTTCAATTGTCCAAAAAAAAAAAATGATTTAGAATTAGACTTCTTAGTGATATTATCAATCTGAGGTTGCCATGATAAATGTCAGGTCACTTTGGTGACCTGACTCCAGGTCAATTTTTTCACATGTTTTTTCACATGCTCTCTCAGCTTACAAAGAAAATTACATTGGCTTACTTAAGGCAGGCTCATGTCGACACGGAACTCAACTCAACTCGTCGACATGAGTGCTCCGCGCAACTGAAAGGAACTGAACACAACTGACCGCAACTGAAAGGAACTGACAGTCGCGCATATTTGTCGATATGAGTCAAGTTGAGTTGAGTTCCTTTCAGTTGTGTTCAACATTTTGCAGAACTGAAAGGAACTGAAAAAAGAGCGAAAAAAAATAATGATTGGAAATCAAAGGAACTGAAAACGTTGATCCTGATATTAATCGTAATCAAGATGCATTAACTGAAAAAAGATATTATATTACAATGTTTTGTTAATGGCAGATTACTTTATTCTTTGTTTTAAGAAATATAGGCCATAGGCCAGATTTTTATTCTAACACATTAACAAATAGGCCTAAGCTAGGCCTAATAATAATAATAATAATAATAATATAATACAGCATGTACTTACCATATTCTAGCTAGCCTAGTCTAGGCCTAGAGTGTAGTAAAAAGGCAGGCTTCCTATGCCCAGGCCTACTAGGCCTAGCCTACGTCTAACTCTACGTACGACGAGTAAAGACTTGACTAACTAACTAACTGGCATGCAGATTTCACTTCCAAAATCCATTTTTACGAATTATAAATAATCCTGTAATTCTTGGGAGTGTGCATTGTTTTTTAAGTTAGTTTCGTACAAATTCTTTAACAGTAGAACATTATTATCTAGGGCCTAGGCTTAGGCCTAGGTCAGGAAAAGCTAAATTCTTTTTTCAAAAAGTCCCTCTGCAGTGTAGTGTTAAATTATGAATTCTATCAAAAGTATGCTGCAGCATTTGCGTAATATTAAATTAATACATTTTTATAACATATTTGACAGCTGATTCATGTAAACATTGTCGCGTATAAAATGCATTCGTGTATACTTGTTGTTTTTGTTTTTGTCTTTTTTTCATATAGAAAAAGACCTTTCTTTTTTAACTGTTCCACCAGTTTTTGCATGAACCCATTTCAAATAGACCAATATGCGATACACTACTAAATTTTAAAAAAAGAGTAGAAACACTTCAAAAATAATTTTATTATTTTTAACCACACGTCTAATCTTACAAGCATTCAAACATTTATTTGCAGTTGATGAGATTTCGGAGCGCTCATGTCGACGAGTTGAGTTGAGTTCCTTTCAGTTCCGTGTCGACCTGAGCCTGCCTTTAAGATTAATTTGTCTATTTTTGCAATAAAAAAAACTCAATTTACATAATCTTTCATCATTTTGATCGGCAAAAGTATTGCCTCTCCGTGAGTGGTACAGTCTGTTTGAAATCGTTTTTAACGCCCACCCCTCCCCTTCAGGCCCGGCTAACTAATACCTCCGAATTTCTT